TGTACTTAGACGCCAACATAACTGTAAGACTTTTCAACCTGTCGGCCGCACAATCAATGTTAACGATTTCTGTCTGCAAACGATTAAGGTATGAAATCATCTGATTTTCATAGTAATTGAAATGGGCAGCTAAGTACGCATCCGCTGACAATTTTGTACTGTTTGCTATTACTTTTTCGTTGTCCTTTCGAGACTCCGGGAAATTAACCATTACGAAAACATACGGCTCACCGTCTACCGGGAAAACTCTATGGCCACACTTTTCGACCTCAGGCAGCAGCCGGAAATCCATTTGCGAGTCGCTGTCATGTAAGTATGCGACAGTATTATTAATTGCTCTATCGATTTCCGCTCGTATCTTTCCGGCGCCCGAATAGACTTGCCGTAAATGACACTCATCAACGACTTCGGACTGCTTAGGCCAAACGTAAGTTATACCCTGTTTGACCACAAAGCTTTGATTCGTATGCTCTGCCAACTTCCCAGTCACCCCGTAAACTGCCTCTTCTCCTGCTGGTTTTTCAAAGGTCATAGATTCTACAATGCAATGTTTGACTTCTGCCACCATTGTGCGTAAGTAACTAGAGCTGACAGTGGGTTCCGTATCGTACTTCCAAACGGTGCCTTCTTGCACCATATTATTGCCCTGACATTTATGAGTGTATACCAACTTCCAACACTCTCCTTCGGTCATGACATATGGGCTTTCATAATAGGTAGTATCCGTACTACCTGTCCAGAATGATACCACTTTAATGCCCTTTTTTACGATCCGACACGCAAAACCTTTAATTAAGGTAACGTCGGGTTTGAATTCGTACATACTATATATTACCGAAGTGCTATTGACTTGCGTTCGCGCTGGAAAACAATCTTGAAAATCCCTAAACGATACAACTCCTAGAAACTGCGGGGCATCGCAGTCACAGGCTGTCATCGCAAACGGTTCTGCCATACCAAAGATTGCAATTACTGTAAAGAGCATAGCCAGATTTCTGAACTTTAACCCGTTACAGCTCATTATTGTGCAATTTCCGCCTTCCTCGACCGCCGTGCTGGTCACATTACTGCTATTTTCGCTTTGCGGTGTCTTTGGTTCTGCACCATCTGAATCTGAATCTGAATCATCAGAAGTATCATCATCCATATTCTCCGATCCTTCCTCTTGTTTTACCCACTTACAAGGTGGTACTACTTCCACCCGGCACATGCAAACTGGTAACCGGTCTACCAACCGGCTTAGCTCAACCAGTCCAATCAGTTCTTCTCCGCTTAGAAAAATTCGCCGCCCAACGGCAGTCTCTACAAGATGGCATGAGCAGGCCTGCTTAATTACCGGATGACCGTTAGCATTAAGCTGGTACATTACAGGTACTGTACACATACGGCACTTGAAATAATGAGTCTGCACGATGGGGTTTGCCGTTGTATCGATACTGTACTGCGGGTTGAGATCTTTTGGTAAGATGTACGTACTACCTTCAATTAGTGTGACGCATGGACTATGCGGGCATCGAACGAAACAATTCTGATGGTAAACATGTAACGCATCGCAGAATTCGCCCTGCACGTTATCGTACATCTCACGTGGTGCGCTGCCACAGGGACACATAAGGTGGCCTTCTAACATAGTCAGATGCATGTAACAATAGTTTCTCTTTTCATGTCCCGTTACTCGTCCCTCTTCACGTCTAGGTACGAATACAGCCACCTGCTGACACTGTGACCCACAGTGGTTACCGTCCTCTAGCTTCGCTTCACACCCATATAGCTCTGATGCACGTAGAGTGATCGCATCGCCTTGTAAACAAAAAATATGAGGATGCTGAAAATTACGACAAGCACATTTTTCTTCTCTAAAAGCAAGCGCCTGCAATGCCTCGGCTACCCCTGCTGGCCCCGGAGTCTCCGATGCCTTCTGCGCAGCAAACATAGCTAACACGGTCTCGACTACCGGTGCGCACATGCCACACAAATCTCTGCGCACTGATAGAACTAACTGCGCGAGGTCATCGTTACGGAGCTCTTGCGCTCGGGCAGCTCGCTTGCTGCCTTGCGAAAAATTATGACGCAAGCACTGACCAATCGACTCATCCAAGTCACCCGTACCCTCCATATGACAAAAAGTTACGTCTACGATTCCTTCTCTTTTCTCAGTTAATGTCACCCTATTATAGTACGGACTTACATGGTTCCGTCTGTGCGGATCCAGCGGATCTACAGCCCTAGAGCTGCTTTCTTTATCCATCTACAAAAAATTTTAGAAAAACTTGAAAATAATCTTAAAGGCGAAACATTTTAGAAAACTGGACCAGAAAATGTAAAGAAAATTACTATACACATGCAACACTCAAGCCCTTCACCCACACGATAGACAACGTTATCGAAAGGAAAAGAAAACCACAGTATCAACGGTGTCTTCTCCTCTACTGAGTATCAAGAAAGCCATTTTTTTTAAAAATATACTACTTACAATACATATAAACTACAGAGTAGTTCAATCAGACAGTATTTCTGTTATAAATTGAGTACTGCTACTATGCTAGTTAGATCTAATAGCCATAACGAACAGGTTTGTTAACTTCCCGTCTCGGTCGCTTATTAATTTCATCAGTAGAAGTATCTGGACTTTCGTCACTTACACTTAACGGCCCCGTACTCCCTACTGCGTTCTGCAATTTTTCTTCCGGATTCGGACCGTTATTAGGTTGTGCAGTAGTCTCGCTAATAGCGGTAACTTTACTATCAGAATTTTCATCTCGTTCATAATACTTTTTAAGTTTCTCCACGTGCACAACAAGAGTTTTCTTTCCTTTCAACGGTTTGATTTCAATGTTTACTTCTGACAATTTATTAACAATTTCGTAGGGGCCTTTCCATTTACCAATTAACTTATTTGCTAGTCCTTTTACATGAACCGGCTTATTTAGGAAAACTAAATCACCTAATTCAAAGCTAGCTTGATTTCTTTTTAAATTAAAACGTGGTGCCTCAGCTTCATAAAGGTCGGCACTACGTATCTGCGCGATTTCCCGGGCTTTATCAAGCCATTCCTGTTTTAACGCTAGATAATTGCCTAAGTCTTGGACCTCTTCGTACGCATTGTAGTTTAATGCTACATCAAGTGGAGACTGAGGATCCCTTCCATAAACTAATTGAAAGGGAGAGTATTTGGTAGTATCATTTTTGGTCGTGTTCATCACATACTGAATAGGGGCAATTAAAGTGTCCCAATTCTTTTGACTTTCTGAAATAAAATGTGACAAAATCTCTTTGAAAGTTCGTATTGCTCGCTCAGCCAGCCCATTACTTTGATGATGAGCGGTAGTTCAAGTAATGTGGCTTATATTAAATAGTTTGAAGATCTGCTGAGTCAATGATCCCGTAAAACACGTTCCTTTGTCCGTTATTATTTCCTTAATTGACCCATGCACTAAAAGAATTTTCTCCACAATGAAGTGAGCAACGTTTGCAGCAGTTGCGGCGGATATCGGCTGCAGTATTACAAACCGTGTAATACTTTCTATAGCCAGAATAACATACATATTACGTCTAGCGGTAACCGGGAACGGTCCGCATAGATCAATATGTACTTGCTGAAACAGCAGCCGAGTGTTCATCGGCTGTAAATAGCCGCGCAACTTTCCAACAGGGTCTTTAATCTGCTGACAGCTCAAACAACTTGAGACGTATCTTGCAACATCCTCTAAACATCCGGGCCAATAATACTTATTTTTGATTTTTTCATACGTTCTGGAGATTCCGAGATGGCCACTAGTAACCGTGTCATGACAATTATATAAAAGCCTAGGTCTCAACGACTTTGGTATGACCAAGAGTAACAGCTGATGACCTTCTTTTATAACGCGACGATACACTAAATCCTGCTTAAGTACATAGTAAACGATTTTATCTCTATACTCTGTAGTAGTCGTATCGCCAGATAGAATTCTGATAATATTATTAATAAACTGATCTCCTCTCTGCAAAACTTTCATATCAATATTTGGGAATTCCGTAAGTTTTGCAAAAAATATTTCGCTCTCTATAATCGGATAACGGGATAGACAGTCGGCTACTAAATTCTCCGAACCCTTTCTGTAAATAATTTCAAAATTATAAGGATTTAACCTTAATAACCATCGCGCTAACCTCGGGTTCACATCCTTGCCTTTAATGAGATAGCCTATCGCCGAACAATCAGTAATTACCTTAAACGGCAATCCTCCCGCTAAATATGAGTGGAATTTCTCTATTGCGTATATTACGGCTAAAAGTTCAAGATGCGTTGCACCATAATTACGTTCATACTTTGTCAGTGATCGGCTGGCGTAAGCAATGACATGCGATTCCCCTTTTTGCTGCTCATGACCCACAGAACACGCTTGCGCTATATACTCGCGCAACAACACTCATGGCTAGAAGCAACCGCAGCATCTTGTCCGATGGACTGATTCTAATCGGATCCAAAATTGCGCCTGCTTATGCAAAACAGTGTCAGAACGACTTTCAAAATCATGGAGAAATGCAAATGGAGTGCAGACTTTTACTCATGAACATACGATTAATAATAATCGACTGTGATTGTACCGGTTTGTATAGGCTCAAATGACCAAAAACTGTTAGGAAAGGTACTGTCGCGGATCTTCGTAATCCCTGAACTACGTAATACTGGGAACGGCAGAACGAAATTACCAACAGACGGCAACGGCTCATTAAGTAGCACATAATAAGGAGGGGAGAAGATAACTAATCCGTTATTCATATTTCAATTGTATTTCCAACTGCAGTTTAATGCTGAATGAGCCATTGTTCTTATCATCGACGCTTGAAAGATAGCAAGGAAGGAAGAAAATAACTAATCCCTTTATTCATATTTAATTGTGTTTTTAATTGTTGTTTAAAGCTGAATGAGCCATTGTTCTTGTTACCCGACGCTTGATAGACATTGTGCTTCAAATGATCTGATAGCACACTAGGAAACAACTGAGACATCGAAACAGTATAATCAGCATTTTATAAGCGAACATCCTTTGCACTAGCCGGTCCTTGTTAACATTAAACTACGAGTTAGAGAAAGAGCGGCATTAACTAATATGGAAACATGCAGCACAGTGTGCAGCTGAACAAAACCGCCAACCTAACAAAAGCCCGTGAACTCGTGAAATTTCACTACAATTGCAATCAAGTCTCCAATTTATTTAATGGACGCCATGCGCTGCAAAAATTGAACAAATAAACTGCGACATTTGAAATCCACGGACGCAGTGCGAAAGATCAAGTGCGGCGACTCGGCAGCATCTGGGTCTCGTTCACTAAACGCAACTTGTCCTTTTGCACAAGTCACAACTGTTGGTTGAGGCTGGCTTGACCGCGACGTGGCGACTCCCGCCGTGCGCAGTAGCCACAAATGCAAATTGCGCAAATGTGTGCGACAGGGATAGGTGCTGTCGCCGGCAAATACCGCTTCCACAGCGTCGCTGGTCTGGAAATCCGTTGTGTCCATCTCTACGACACCTCTACGACAGCGGGCCGTTATCGGTGTTGTTCCCCAGCCGATGGCGCACGTTGCCGGTGCGGCTATGGTTGAGGTCAAGAGTGGTGCGGATGTCGTATCCACCGAAATAGTTGTCACGTGACTTTCATCGTCTGAGGAAAGAGCGTTAAGTGGAAGCGGTTTAAGATTAAGATTTAAGATTAGATTAAGCGGATTTTCCTTAAGTACCTGCTTTTATAAGGACGATATTAGCTAGGCCTGCCCACAATCCGTAACCTTGCACTTGCACACTGAACCTTAGCTAGAGGGAGAACAATTAAATTTATTGTTTATTGTACTGTCGTACGAGCTACAACGGTTTCTTGCGACAGATTACCCGGAAAAGGCCGTCTCGAGGCTGGAGATTAACCAGCGTATTCGGTATTGTGTACCAAGTCCACTGGTATCCGGTAGTGTGGATGAGAATTGGAGGAGATCCATCCACTGGCACTAAATGCAGCTCGAGAGAACCGTTTTTATCCTGTTGCACAACGTCAAACGACAAAGTATGGTGGCTGCTAAGAGATATGGGCTCGGAAAGTAATTCGGCAGCCGTGGCAGAATTCGTTACTGCGATCATCCATTCGTTTTCTAGATCATGTAAAAATAGCAATCTGTAATGGCCATATGTAGTCAAGTCTGTTGGGAGAGGTACGTTGCAAGTTGCAACTGATTGTCACATTCCCTTTACGAACCTCCTGGAGTGGGGAGGATATTGAGTGACAGCTCTCCTATTGGACTAACGGAAAAAGCCGTTAACGGAGTCGATGAATTCTTCCATGTCTTTTCTGGAGTAGCAGTCCAGCCGCACAAATTCCCGGCAAACTGGCAGGACACGCCTTTCGTCAAGGGAACGATAAATTTAACGAACCGCCGAAGACAAGCTAAACGACGCATTACCTTCATTCTTTAGCTCCGGGTCTGTCGACGCTGCTCCAACAAGAGACAGTATGCAACCTAGACGAAGCAAATTTGTCAAAGGACACTGGAACAGTATGTTACTCACTCACGTATAAATTTACCTGAAATCCATATGCAAAGCGCAAGCTGACCCCTGCTGTGTATCGGATTCGAGGTCATTGTCAAATCTTATTCGGTGTTTAGACCAATGATTTCTTTGAAAACCAAACAGCCTAACAGCTTACAGCAGTGTGATCACTGATAACAGTTCACACTGTGCGGCGTAAGATTGTAAGTGAATTGTAGGTGAATTGCGTGTTATCGAAAATTGTATTAGTGAATTTGCCGATAAGGGCTCATTTGACGTTTTTTGGTAGCCGGAACAGCTGACCAAAGATAAGGAAATCGGTTTATCAAATTCAGACTCTGTGCTGATGTCAATGTTTGCAGGGTATTGTATTATTCCGTTACTAATTCCCAGTTGTTCGACAGGCTTCACATGATCCCGCAAAGTTATGCTGCGCTATCTGTTGACTGATTGAAGTTTCTTGCAATGAACACAAATGTTGCGTTTTCATAATTTAAATTCGTTATCATTCGTTATTCTCTTTACCATCACAACTGATAAGATAAAGTGATAAACACCGTTTAGAGCAGCGGATCGCAGCTGTAACGCAAAAGGCAATCTCACCAACCGCAAGCGTGCAAAACTTGACCAAGAAACACTGCTAGCCTGACAAAACGTTTGAAGGTCTCTATTTACGCAGAGATGCCATTCGTTTTAAGAACTGAACAAAGATATTCCGACATTTCAAGTCGACAGACTCCATGCGAAACACCAAACTGCTGGACTCGACCGCGTCGGGATCTTCCTCACTGAAATGAAATTGACCTTTCGCACACGTGACCAGCGTCGGTAGATGCACATTAGTGGAGCGGGCGCTGGGCACTCCCCCCGTTTTGAGAAGCCACAAATGCAGGTTACGTAGATGTGTGCGGCATGGATAGGTGCTGTCCCCAGCAAAGATTGTTTCAACGGCATCCGTGGTTTGGAAGTCCGTTTCGTCCATGCTAACCACGCCTTTTTGACAGCGACATGTCAAAGGAGCGCTGCTACATCCGATGTTACAGGTGTCGGTAACTGTGGTGGTATTAGGGTTAACAAACGCCGCAGCCGTCGGGTTAACGGAAAAGCTTTCGGAAGTAGCTGTGGTTGACTGTGCTGAGCTGCTTGTCTCTTGGATGGTCGTGTGGGGAGGCGTGGTGAACAGGACAACTGCTGGCTGCGTCGTTAAGGTCAAGGTACTGATTGTCGTGGAAACTGTGGTTGTGGGCAGCGGGCTGGACACGGTGTCAACAGCGGTGCTGCTGTCGTTAGCGTCGGTCACAGCTGGCTGCGACCCGGGTGTGGTGCGTTCGGTGGTGGTGCGCGGGGTCGTTGCGAGCAAAATTGGGCTGCCACAGCAAATGAACTCGCCCTCCGGCGCTAAGGTAATCTCGTCTAGTCCGAAACAGCGGACACTCATCACTCCGGCTCCAATCACAATCTGCAACAAAAGGTGAAAAGACAGATCGAAAAAATTGACAATTCCGCGCTAGATGACTCAGTATTCTATCACTGTAGTTGAGACCTTACAGACAGTTAATAAGGGCAGGAACTCTTCGACTGCGCTTACGTCTAGTGAAATACGAAAAAAAGGTCAAAGTGCTAAAGTAAAAAGAATATAAAAACGGACTAATAAAGTGATATTGATTAGCAGGTAGCTTGGTCCGTAAGCGTTTCGACAATAAATATTTCTCGTGTTCGGAATAAATTTTAGGAATGGTGCAATAATATGTTTTCAAGTACGGCCATACAAAATGCTAACCGAAATTATCAAAAAAAAAAAATAAAAATACTACAGAAATAAATTCATAATTATAATATTATTGATCCTTTTTGCTACATTACCAAGAGAGATTTAAACATTTATCTGCGCATTATCTGCAGTCATTTGCGGCATCTTTCTTCAATTGCTTTTAGTCTATTCTTTTAACCGCTGCAGGCTAACTGACTTCGGTATACGATTAGCCGCGCCAACATACGCTGAACTCCCTGTGGAGGGTTTCGAGCACCACGCTGTACGGAGCCCACATGTTGAAGGTAATCGAGCCCAGAATCTGTCGTGAAATGGTCACTTGTTCCCCATCGGCAAAATTCAGATTGACGTAGATCCCATCACCCGCCGCCGCGGTGGCGTATACATAAACGCGCAGAATCGCCCGCGCCTGCAGTATGATGGAATTGGATACCAAGTGCGCTCGCTCGGCGGCGGTCAATGTGCTGCCTTGCGCGAACAAGAAGAACCCTACAAAGCTGGATTGAAAACAGGGAAATTCACCGAGTATTCACAGCTCAGTCTGCTTTTACCATCGGTATCGGGCTGCGCGTTGCTATTATGCGATGAGGCCGGGACAGTGCTCACACGCTGCCATTGGAAGGCGTCCGTGGTCTCCGTTGACCATCCGCAGAGATTTTCCTCAAAAGAACAGGTCAGAGAATTCTGCAGCGCTGCGGTGCTCGTGGGCTTTGTCGAGGGGGAAGTGCTGCTCTGTGTCGTAATGAGAGTTATGAGACTACTGACGGCTATCATTGTGGTCGTGGGGACAGGTGTTGTTGGGCCAATCAGCGCTGTATTCGGTAGCCGATTAGCCAATATAGTACTCGCAAACTTCAGAATTCAGACTATCCAAATGTAAAATAAAAAGACGCACCTTCATCTCTCAGGACAATGCTGTTTAACGCCGTCCAAAAAACGTACGATTGCACACTGCGTACCTTCAGTCGAAACTTCAACTATAAAAGCATGACAATAAGTTCGCACTCATAGCGTTAATATGCAATACAATGGACTTCAAAATTTTGTTACACTCACAAAACGCGCGCAACCAGCTACTTATCTGTACTCAATCAGCCAAATTCCGGGCTGGCCATCGGCCTGTTGAGTACAAACGCTTGCAGCTTGCGCATTTCCCAACCAAAACCGTCAACCAATATCTCAAACAAAAGAGAAAAAAATTACAAGAATTTTGATACCAAGCAGGTTGTTCTTTATGAGTTCTAAGAGAAAATCGAGGCATCTGAAGTTTCTCGTAGACATAGCATAGGATTTTTCATCCACGGTTTGGTTCCAGTTTTCAAGCAGCACGTCTACGACAAACTAAAATGGCTCGATTTTCTCTTAGATCTCATGAAGGAGAATCTGTTTGGTATCACAATTCTTGTAATTTCTTTCTCATTCTTTTGATATATCGGTTGATGGTTTTCGTTGGGAGATATGCAAGATGCAAGTGTTTGACGTCAGCAGGAGTTACGCGTTTCCTGGTTACTGGTCATTTTATTGGTCTTGGCTATTAAAATATCGGTCCCGGACCGAATGTAACAAAATTTTGAAGTCCATTGTACAATCTCCTAAATGCTTAAATAAGAGAAACAAATAGTTTAAAGACGGTATGGTACCCGGAAAGCAGTACTACGCGGTTCCACGGTGACCACAATGGGATTAGACCAGGCGAACTGGTCGTTTTTGCTGTAGATCCTCACTTCCGGTGCTCCATCCGATGGCACCACATTCAGTTGAATATGCGGATCGTTACTGCTGCCAAATGTCTGCTGTAGCACGCGAAACGTCAGTGTGGTTTGGAATGTCAAATAGATTTCTTGCGAGAGCATCTCGGCGAACAACTCATCGTCAATGGGACTGGTTGCAGCAGCCATCCATTGACCTGCAGACAGCGCATAGTCGTGCAATCATGCATTAACCGATTTGTTCAAGAACGGAATGATTCATTTATTCAACCTGTGACAGGGGGCTTCGCCGTGGTGCTGACTGAACTTTGTGTAACTCGCCATATTTGAGCGGGACTGGGTGTCCATCCACAAAAGTTCCCTTCAAACTGGCAGGAGATTTGAGCCCGCACCGCAGCACTGGCGTATTGTAACAATAATATAGATACAGCTGTAAAAAAAGCAACCCAAATCAGCAAAACGCACTCTTCATGTGCCTCGTAAAGCAGTGGCTTCTGATTTTACACTACTGATAAATGATAAGCATCAACGGTCCTTAACTTAACGCCATGAACGAGACAAATATGGGATAATATGTATACGATAAATTTTATGGCAGACCGGCACCGGTGAAACCGTTCAGGACCAAAGCCGTTTACCGCAGACGGCTTTGGTCGTCTGTTTCGCCGTTTCGCCGGTTTAAACCTTTAAGGACAAAATATCCTAAGGATGGCATATCCATGTGAACATGTATTTTAGTTGCACAATTTACGCCACTGGTGTACAAATTGTACTTGCCTAAAATAATCCCAGTGGTACTGTGCCGATGTTGCCCTTCCCGTAATGTCATTGTAAAAATTATTGTCGTTAACGATTCTAACAAACTCACTGGAATAGCTCTAAGTTTGTGTGAGATTACACGTAGGCAAGAGCGTATTGAGACTGTAATATTATTCACACCATATGCGCGGTGAGTCGCCGGTGTCAGAGTGTTGTGCGTAGTGCACAGGATATTGGCGTGTTCGCCTCACCATCACTGGATCGGCTCACCATTCGCCATTCTGCGCACATGCAAAAGCATGTTTTGCCAGTCGAGTGCCAGCTACGGAACCGTTAACATCGATTCCTAGCAGATTCTGATTTCATGCCCTTTTTCTGGCTAGATTTTGTGATTGCCCTTTTGATTTCTACCGAAATAAAGGTTATTTCTCGAGGAGATGTTGTTTCCGTTGTCGTTTCTCTGTACAGCGTAGACGCTTCTCCGAGATGGTGGAGATGCCTTAAGATCCCTGTCATCCTCATTAGTTCGCACTCGATAACGGCGTTACATTGAATACGCCGTGACACGGAAGTTCCCTCTCTCTTTTTCGGTGGAGACTTCGTCTACCAGCGATAGCCAGCAAAGAGCAGCACAAGCAGAAGAACCTTCCACAGAACTGAAGCACGGAGCGTCGCTGGTTCGGAAGGCACGCGGCCGCCAGCAAGGAGAAGAACCCAGGAACATTACGATATTGTAAGCATACTGTGCTACACAGTACGACTACGACATGTAGATTATTTCTACAGTCAAACAAGAGATTTAGGTAGCAGTATACTCTACGAGTTTTCCCGTATAAGGGACAAGAATATACCGTTATTATATTGATTTAGATCGTTCGGAAAAGGGGATTATTTCCCGTGAATTGCCTTCGCCACAGATCGATAGTGACAACCCAATAATCGCAGATTTGAACAATTGTTCTGATATTTCTTTTAATGATGACGGAACCACCAGTAATTGTTGTTTTTCTGCAACCTTTAACCCCGTATATCGATGATATTTTAGTCGTTACGGAACGACCGTTCCGTAAACGAAAAAGTCAAGGCACTCGCTGATTATATCAGCGGATATTTTTCTCGGAAGAGAGGGAGGGAGAACAATAAGAGATAGCCGAGCAAGCTATCTATAGCTGCCCAGGCCAGAAAATTATCTGCAGACTGCAAAGCAGCGACACATTAAAAGGCATTGACCTACAATGCTGTGCCTAACACATACAGTGTAAAAAACCTAAATTCGAAATAAGTCTAGAATTCAGTTTTGAATTCTATTGCTTAGTCTTTGACGGCATAATGCCCGTAAATCGTTCACCAGTAAGGAAACAACCAGCTATTGACCGGTTGAAACAGGGCGTAGAAGACGTCCTTAAATCGGCCAGCAAGGTTTTAAAAGGAATAACCGATGATCCAGCAAAGGCTGGCACGAGTGACACTTCACAACAGGATAAGGTCACGCGTAGTAAGACAAATCAGTTAAAAGGGGCAGGTGTGGAAATTACCCACAAAGTCCTTGAGGATAAACCTCGTAAACCGAGGAAAGCTACCGTAATGGATCAAGGAGATAATCTCCTTGATACACCACTAATGCAGCCACCGGAACAGTTGTTTTTCCGGCCACTAACTCCCGAGAAAAGCCGACAGGTTAATCCCGATAATCGGGAAGAAGTACAGGCACCTGTGCCAGAACGTTCTGATAGTACCACAGAGTCAACGGCCACAACAGGGTCGTTTTCTCAAGTGAGCGAAAGCGAGCTGAATAAATCCGCAACGACGGAAGAAGAAGAAGAACCTGTGACAGTGATACCGACCACCTTGCGTAAAACGCAATCATATACAGCAAATCTGAATGAATTATTGAATTCAGCGGCAAAGCCGGCAACAGGTTCCAGTATCGTGGAATTAAAACAGGCAACCGAAACTATTTCGGCAAATCAGGTATTGATTAAAGATCTGCAGAGGAAATTGGAAGTAGCTGAGGACGAAGTCCAACATCATAAGAACCAGTACCAACATGCACACAGTTCTTTTAAAAATATGGAAAAAATCGTATTGGGTCTGCGGGCCTTAATAGGCGAAAAGGATGCGGCAATGGCCGAACTAAGAGGAAAAGTAGATGAAGCACGCGCTAAGAATTCCGATTTAAATCAGCAAATCGCTGAGAAAGACACCATGCTTGATCAAGTGTGGCAAGAAAATCAACGATTAAAGACTAACAACTTTAATCATATTACCGATCTGAAAAACGTGCAGTCTATGCTGCACGAGAGCCAAATGGAACATAAATCCCTAATTGGGAAATTTAACTCTTTAGCTAAAGATTACCGAACGTTATACGATCGACAAATGAATCCAGAAGCCGTAGAATACGGTGAGCGACCGCTCAGTAGGGCATACGCCGCAAACACCGAAGAGACGCAATTGTCCCGGACACACCATACACCCTCGGCAACGAACGAGAGTGGTTCTCAGGAAATGCCGAGTGCAGACAAACAGCAGTTTATCCGCAGCATCCTGCGGGAAGAAATCCAGCGAGCAGGCATCGGACAAAGCAGGACGGTAAGTCCTGTGAGGAAATCAGATTTGGCTGAAGTGATGCGACAGCCCGTACCGCGTCCTAACTACAATGGTAGTAAAGAGGACATCGATAGTTTTATCATAAAATTCGAACATGCGGCAATCGCAAATCGTTGGGTAACCGACGAGAGGAAGATTACCGAATTGGCATATTGCCTTAAAGATGACGCCATTATTTGGTATAATGGACTGATAACGTCGACGACGCCGCCGACAACTTATAAGGAATGGAAGAAACAATTAATCGCCCGTTTTGGCGATTCGAAAAGAGCAGTAAATGCACTCGCGGAATTGGCAAATCGTATGTATAAACCTGGGCAAGAAACCCTGGAAACTTATTATCAGTCGATGATGACATTGCGCGACCGCGCAGGATTTAATGGATCACCGGAACAAGTTGTGAATTTTCTTGTAAAAGGGTTAAAATCCCATGAGAAATTACACGATAAAATAGAAATTATGAGGCCGGTAACTCCGGAACAATTTCTGGAGATTATCCGTTATTTATCGTCGAATAATCCGGAGAAATATGTGATTCCTATCGGTAATACCCGACGCAAGCAGGATCGCGATAGCGAAGTGGTGACTGTACGAACTGTACAAGTACAACCGAAGACTTATGCGGCAGCGGCGGCCAGCCCGCCGCGGCCAAGCAGTAAAAACAATGGAAAACCGAGTTACGGCAATCGTAACAAT